AATCATCGTTTTAAAATCAATAAGCACCGATGTAAATCACACATACATACATCCGCGACCTATCATATTATTTGCCTTAGCCGCCGGAGCGTAATCCATTTTGCGTTAGTTTTGATTCATGATCCACTGGCGTGATTACCGCGAACAAATACATTCGTTAAAACCAAATAATCCGTAATTAATGCTCGTGTGTTTGCGTGCGTGACTAATCTATAACCAATGAGCTGCATATCGAAACTAATTTGACGTTTGTTTTGAAATGTTTAGTTTATTTGTTAAGTGGTGATCTGTGACTGAAATCAAACGTGGTCTTCGGAACCTATTTTTATTCTTTCCGCATTTAATCAAGCTACTCCGCACGCTGATCGTTTAAAACCCGATCTTAAACTAATTAATGGGATAGGAATAAGATTTACATTCGACGGTAGCAGTGCAACACTAGGAAACTTTCATATTTTGCGAAATTTAAGACTGTAGTTCTTGAACGCACGTGAAGTCCGCAAAAACGCATTGGAAGAAATATTGAATAAGACATATTATCCAGCCGCTTTAAAGCATATCCAGAATAATCACTTATTTTTAATGAGATCAAAAATAATGATTCACTTCCGAAACAATTTTGACGAACTTTTTTTATTAATTTCCAATCAACTGTGTCAGATACTTTATGCATTTACTTTAGAGCTAATTCGTTTAATACACTCTTAATGTATATACCTTGATACAACAGAATAGCTCATAAAACCAAGCGCATCAATTTAATCAAAACACTGCTAAAATGCTCAGGGCGGTAAATAACACCGCAAGATTGGGGTCAAGACTGTAATTTTAGTTTATATTGTCGACGTCTTCTTTAAGAGTCCATAAAGTCAATTTCTGACCATGGGCTTCTCTCATTGTAGAGGAGTTTTGCGTTATGCTTGACAGTCTAGTCTTGTAACTGGCTCGAGTCTTTTTTTAAAGAAGCTTTGTTAGACTTACTTAACACATCAACAGTCTTTTTAATATACCACCTGTATACACAAAGGTTCTTCTCAGAATGCGCCCGGTTGTTTATAAAATATTAATTATAATAATATATAAAGAATAGTTTATAAAATAACCGCTGAAAAATTTAAGGACCCGTAAGGTAATGACCCGGTAAGGACAGTATATTTTTAAAATTAATACTGTATATTATATAATATACAAATAATCAAGCAATTTAGGGTCAATATTTCAATTAAAAAAAGCATTTATTAATTTTATTGACTCCGGTAGAACTTAATTTTTCAAAGAAGTAGACGTGTATTTTTCTCATAACTGATTCGTTACAATATTATTCACTAGATCCTATAAAAGTCCGCTGCTCAAAACGAGCCTTTCCATAGATCATAAGGGGTATATTTGCAACATTGCCACGCCTAGGCCGATTGATAACTGCAGCTTTTAATTTTCTAGTTGTTATTAGAATTTGCTTTATTTTTAGGGCAGCAAGTAAACATAACGAAATCTGTGACGCAATCTTAATGATTTTACATACAAGTTATTATTCAAAATTTCGTCGATGTGAAACGAGCTTACTCTTTTTTAGGAGACCGGCAACACACCTGCAACTGTCCAAGTATTGCAGTTGTTCATGGGCGGCGGTCGACACCCACCTACCATCAGGTGAGGCGCATGCTTGTTCCTCTCTCTCTCTTCTATAAAAAACACTCTTTCGTTTTTCTCTGGCACTCATCAGATTGCCTCCCCTCCGCACAAGTCAGAGCTTGAGCAGCATTCCAAAGTTGTGTATCGCGAGCAACACAGAGTCGGGAATTCACATTTAGAAGAAACCAAAATAAGGGGCAATTTTTTATAACAGAGAAGCGGTCGTAATAGTGATCATGGTTCCTGTGACAGGAACTTGGTTTGTGTCCTAGGTATGGTCAGGATGTGTTGCGAATATTCGTGGTCGGCGGTGATCACTATTACGACCGCTTCTCTGTTATAAAAAAAGATTAGATAAGAGTTATCTCTTTCGATAACTAAACTCATAACTCGAAAAATATATGCTATTCTAATTGAGTCAAATATTCATTAATATTGTATTTAAATGAAACTGTAGTTAGATTTTAGAACAAAATTTTCAATAGCCATAAAATTTCAAAATGGCTACCGCAAACTGGATTTGTTGGTAAGCGAGACTTAAATTTACTAGGGTAGGTGAAAGGTTAAAGACTTAACGTTGAAGGTTATGCTAAGAGATTTATTTTATCTCGTGCATTCGTTTCCACCGCTTATGTATTTGTAGTATAAATTAGAAATAAACGTTTATTCATTCATTTATTACAGCCTACTAGTAAACTTTACTGCTGAACAAAGCCTCCTCAAAGATTGCCTAAAATGAAGGATATTTTATGTTTTTTTTAATAGCTGAGGAGTAAACGAGCATGCCGCTCACCTGTGTCGACCACCGTCCTTTAACAACTGCAACACCATTGGAATTGCAGGTGCACCAGCATTGAAGGACCACGTCTCAGATCCATAGGTCATCACTGAAAATACGCACTGGTTGTACAATCTAGTTTTGAGGTAATAAGGTACGACTGTATTTAAAATTATAATGCATATGTTTTATAGAATAAGAGATACCAAAGAGCACACACATCCACATTATGGTAAGTAGATGCAGTGGACCCATAGACATCTGCATCTATCCTCGACTAATAATCAAAATTCATTGCATTGCATACATTGTCACCCCTAAGGACTAAAACGAAATGTCTAGTTGCTATAAAAAGTGTCTACGGTTCTCTATACTCATCATGCGAAACACAGCACAATTAAGCTGCTATTTCACACTGGTATTCCGGTAGTCCTTTTCCAGTCAAGCCGACATGTTCGTGATACAACCATAATACGAGTATAGCTGCATCACATGTAAAAAAATTGTTGATTAATTGATTAACACGATAAATATTAAAGAATATTGTAACTCAGTCTGCAATCCAGTATGCTATGCGCTGAATATTTACCCCAATTCAAATCCAAGGTGATCAATTGCGAAATAGCCTCTTAAGCACGGAATACTTAACGGAAAGAGGTGCTTCAAGTTTAAATTCATAATTATTTCAAAGGCAATAAACAAGCAAATAGTCGTGTAAAAATATTTAACAGGTAACGAACTAAGAAACAATTTTGAACCTATGAAGAAGTTTATAACCACATTACAATATATGCAAATAAATTAACATTCAATGAATACTAGTAGTAAAATTAAAAAAATTGTACAACTGACTTATATATTTATGACGGCTCCGTGGCGCAGTGGCTTAGCAATGAGTGGCTGCGCTGGGGTTCGCGGGATCGAGTCTCGCACGGAACAAGTATTTGTATGGCCTACAAATAATTCTTCCGGGTCTGGATGTTTGTACTTGTGCAATTTATGTATGTAAACTGCCGCCACGATACAGGAGTAAATACTAGTGCGGGGCTAACTTTTTTTTAGAACAAAAAGTACATATAAAATGAGAACATCATCAATGTAGTTGAAGTCAACTAAATACGCATTATTAAGGATAATTTAAAAACTACTCATCAGATCTTGATTAACATCAGAGGGCGCTAGTTGCCACGGTTAAGATCAGCTCCGTGTATTTCTGTTATTAAAATTATAAAACAGCTCGGATATACTAAAATATTAATTTAGTGCAAAGTAAAATCCTTATTAGTTGTGTACAAGTGTTATAAAGTCTTCTCATTAACGAAATGTGCAGGAAATAACGATATTAAATACAGTTTGTTGTCACTATAAATAATATTAATTGATGTGTTAATACAAGTTAATAAGTAAATAATAAAGTTCAGTGTTAATAACATTTGTTAGTAGTAACATATGTTAACGTAAACCTAAGTGCAATAATAAATTACTATATACATTAAGTGTATTTTGCAAAACTTTTTATCGTGTGAAATTTGACGGTTGTTGTAAAAACTTTTAGTTTCGATTTGAATCAATGTCGTTGATTTCATCTACGAGATTATAAATAACGCCATCTATGTGTTTATGCTTATATTGATGACAAATTGGTGGTTCTCTAATATCGATATTAATAATTGCAATCCTTGATACATCGATCGAGTTTGCGTGCCACCAAAAGGTGGCCCTTTTGTGCTTGGAGTGTACAATAATAACATTACAAGCTACAACTTCTTAAAAATGAATTGCGCTGGTTGTAATACAATCTGCAAGCCGGGGCGCGGCTGCTGAATTGTCATGCCTGCGAAGGAATCTTTCACATTGAATGCCTTAATATTAAGCAGCAACAATATTCTTCACTGTCAGAAGAATTTAAGGCAGCCTGGAAATGTCCCTCGTACAATAATGTTACCCGTCGTGGACGATCCAACTTGCTTAAGCCCGTGCGATCCACGCAAATACCTTTGGATGATAACATGAATATGTCATATGAAATCGAGGGCCATGCACCCATCTCATTGTACAATCCTTGTACTCCGACTACACTAGCTGCTTCAGTCCATGACTGTGTTGCCCTGGAGACGGGTGCTACTTTCCATACATTCACACAGGAACTACATAAGACCTTTGATGAATGGCGAAGTGATATGAACAATACACTAACTGTATTCAAGGAGAATATCAAGAGCTCACTACATGACTGGCGAGATGAGATGGAGGCGAGTATAACTAAACTTAATGATGATTTAAAATTTGCTTTGAATAGATTCAGGGAGGAGATATGCACCCTTCGTGCTGAACATGAGCGTCTAAAGCATCAAACTGCTGATATATCCCGTGATGTCTCAGAATTAAAAGCATCCATGCAGTTTCTTTCCGGGGAACAAGACGATTTCAAAAAAAAGTGGACGGCACAATACGTCAATCTACCGAACAATCCAGCCTAACCATTAGCAACTTGGAAACTAAAGTCGATTACCTAGAGCAACAAGCCAGACAATGCAACATCGAAATCTGTAACATTCCTGAAACTCGCAGTGAAAACTTGTTAAACATAATGGGATCGATTAGTATGGCTATTAACTTTCCAATTTCTCAGAAAGATATCCTGTCAATCCATAGAGTTCCCCATGCTCACCGTCAAACAAATAAGTCCAAGAATGTTATTGTGAAACTTTCATCGCGCATCCTTCGTGACAACGTACTAGCGGCTTTTCGTAAGGTGAAAACTCTCAAGACCAACCAGCTAGGTCTCACCGGATCGACAATGACCGTATATATGAACGAGCATCTTACACTGAAGAAAAAACAATTATTTCGAAAAACCAGAGATCTCGCCGCTATGCACCAATACAAGTATGTCTGGGTTCGGAATGCCACTATTTTGTTGCGCGAGCAAGATGGTGATACTGCTTTTGCTATCCGCACAGATGATGATCTTCGTAAGATCAAAAGCCGTACTAAAGGTAGTAATAAAAGCCCTTGTGGTGGTTCTACTCAACATACTCAGTAATAACAATACTTTTCATTATTATCATTATTCTCCCCACCATATATCTCGCTTAATTTCTTCATTAGGTGTCATTCTGTATTACACGTTTTTATTAATGATTTTTATCGTTCTCTCATCCAAAAATGCAAACAACAAGTCAAATTATATAATTAATACCTTTGAAATTAAATTTTCCTTACGCTATGTTACGTTAGTAGAGTTATATTGTACTGTTGCATTATGTTACACTTTTTCGAAATATTTATATTTATTTTATGGAGGATATATTACTATAAATAGTGCTATAATAAAATCATTTGGCATGATAACTGTATATAAACTAAACCTTTTTAAACATAAAATAAGTGTGCCTTACGTCACAATAAAAAATAATGCTCAGTTTAATTATAAGTTTATAAACGTACTTGTATTAATAAATTGTATGTTGATCCTAGGTTTGTTATTATGCAATCGTCTTGGCCTCTATTTTGCCATATGTTGTTACACTTTGATAAGTTACAAACTTTTCAATCCTTTTAATTACTACGATTATGTGTTACTTGTCTGTTGTAATATTATAATCTTTTTAAAAATTTATGAGTATGTCATAAGTATGTCAGCCCTTGAATATAACATGTGTAAGTATGGTTGTTTAGTTGTATATGTATCAACAAAATATTTTAACCAGTTGGCTGAAAAGATGTGGAGTAATAATTATAAATTTTTATTGATTTTTTCATTTTGCGTGCATGTTTTTGTAATTCTTATTATTTTTATGAAGATATATTTTGAATCGTTTCTTCGTGGGGAATTGGTTTGTCTTTGCTGCGTGACTGGTATATTATATCATAATGAGGTAAAATATTCTTATTATTGTTTTAAAGACTTGAACATCGTAAGCGAAAGTTTTAATATTACTGTTAATATGTACATGTTATTCTCAATTATTTGTAATTGGTAGCAAGCAATATTCCTTATACTATCAAAATTGCAGAGGTTTCCGAACAAAATTACACACACTATATATGAACATTCTAAACAGTAACTATGATATCATCGTACTCACCGAGACTTGGCTGATATCGGAAATTAGCAACAATGAGTTTATCGATCAACGTTATATTGTGTACAGGTGCGACAGTAATCGTATCAGTACAAATAAACTAGATGGCGGTGGTGTTCTAATTGCGGTATTGCGTACACTCTGATCATCTGAGTTAAATCTGTCTTTGACTAGTGTAAATGTTTCACTGCATAACCTAATCGAACATGTCATCATCGACGTCCCTAGTAAGCAATCCTCAAAGCGCCATGTCTTCAGTGCTGCTTACATACCCCCCAAAACACCCTCTATCGTATACGAACTTCACTTTGAAACTTTACAAGAGATACTGTGTGATCCTAATTTGGATGGTTTCTATATTTTGGGCGACTATAATCTCCCAGATGTAACTTGAACACGAATAACCACAGACGCCTTACATGGCAGTGGAGTAGGCTCATCCGTTACCTTTAAACTATTATGTAATTTAATCTCATTTCTACATGCCGCACAATACAACTACGTAGTGAATACCAAAAAATAAAATACTTGATTTATGCATATCAAACCGCTCGTGTAAGATATCGGCCGCTTTAAGTCCCCTACTTCCTGTTGACGCATATCATCCACCCTTTGTTTGTGATATAGCTCTCAATGCTGATATTGTTCCAATGAAAAAGCGGAGGCTTCAAAGGTACAATTTTTATAAGTCCGACTACACGCACATCAACCGCAAAATAGAGTCCACTGACTGGGATGAAATACTTACTCCACTGGGATCTGAAGAAGCACTTAGGGCATTTTACGGAATCATTGACGAAATTATCAAACAACACACGCCATTTGTTGGCTCCAGAACCTCTGCTTTTCCTGTCTGGTTTTCGAAATCTCTAATTAGCACATTTAGAAAAAAACGTAAAGCTTGGGTGAAATGGAAGAAATATAACAACATATCAGACTATGAGATATTTTCCCAGTATAGAAAGTTATTTAAGGATATGTGCAATAAATGTTTTTCTAAATATATTGGATCGGTCGAGGATAGCATACGCAAAAATATTAAGGATTTCTGGGTATACATCTCTAATCGTCGTGACAAACCTGGAATACCAACTAAGGTTGAATATAATGATGATGTTTCAAGTGATCCACAAACAATATGCAACATGCTTTCTGAATTCTCCTCTTCCGTTTACGAACCGCCCTCACCTACACTATCGCAGTGGAGACCACCTGCCGATTCAGCATTCCATGACACTACTATTACTAACCTTCATTTTGAAGTAGAAAAGGTATTAAGAGAGCTGAAATCCTTGGATCCATCTAAGGGGCCAGGCCCTGATGGCTTATCTGCTTATTTTCTAAGAAACACTGCCACAGTTATAAGTAAACCCCTAACTATCATCTATAATAAATGCATTACTGAAGGTGTTATGCCCACAGTATGGAAACAGGCTAACATCACACCTGTGCACAAGAGCGGATCAAAACGTAGTGTAGATCTATATCGCCCGATATCAATTTTGTCCACTTTGTCGAAGCTTTTCGAGAGACTTGTGCATAACGAAATATATCCCATACTGCACAATATAATTTACAGCAACAGCATGGTTTCGTTAAACGTCGATCAACAACCACCAATCTATTATTATTTTTCAGCTATTTATTTGAAAATGTTGATGATCGCGTACAGGTCGATGCAGTATATACAGACTTTCGAAAGGCCTTCGATAAGGTGGACCACGAAATGTTACTAAATCGAATAGCTTACAATGGCATTCGGGGTAATTTGTTACGATGGTTTGTTTCTTATATCACTAACCGTTGTCAAAGGGTTGTAATTAATGGATACCACTCTAACGTTACGATGGTTACCTCCGGTGTACCTCAGGGATCTATTCTCGGGCCTTTGTTATTTATAATGTTTATTAATGACATAAGTAACTGTTTTCTCAACTCAAAATTTTTATTATATGCAGATGATCTTAAAGTTTATAAATCTATCCATACTACACAAGACTGCATTCTTCTCCAAGAGTATCTAGATAGACTTACAGACTATTGTTACAAAAGTAAGCTTCAGTTAAGCATTCCGAAGTGTAAATATCTCCGTTTTACTAAAAACAAGAATATTATTACATTTTCGTACTCACTGTGTAACGTTCCTTTAGCTAAAGTGGATTCTATGCGAGATCTCGGTATACTGTTTGATTCAAAACTGTGCTTAGACTTACATATTGAATAAATTGTAAACAAAGCATACAAACTATATGGATTTATTATGAGATCAACTCGCGACTTCAAACGGACCTCTTCATATCTTTGTTTATATAAAACCCTAGTTCGCTCTCAACTTGAATATGCTGTGCCCATTTGGAATCTTTATTATAATAAATATATACACAAAATTGAAAATGTTCAACGCCGGTTTCTACGTGCGATGCATTATAGATGTCATAAATCTCATTTACCGTATGACCAGTTACTCAGTAGATACAAACTTCTAACCTTCCACTCTAGACGTAAGCAATTGGAGTCTATGAAATTGTTTCATATAGTTAGATTCAAATTTGACTGTATTGAGTTAAACAATCTGTTATGTTATGTAGTTCCCAGAACTGTCCATAGACGACGGGTGCGTGCGGGTAAACTCTTTGCCGTAAGTACCTGTCGATCCAATACCGGTATTCGTTCACCAATTCGACGTATGGTTGCCACATATAATGAGACCTTCGAGCATATAGACATTTTTACATGCTCAAAGGAAAAGTTTCGTGGTCTTTTACACAAGACACTTTTCACATAATAATTTTGTTATCTTAGTCATATTATAATATCACTGTTGACCATACTTTGACATTTGTATAATACCTTCTATACAGCTGCAGGTCTCCTAGCGTCTTAATTATATATCCCAAGAGGTAATCTGTGAACAGCACTGTGGGCTGCATTATTGCGTATATTAGGTTACTGTACTATCTATATGTAATTATATATAATGTAGTTGTTAGCTGTTCCACTTTGAATAAAATAAAATAAAATAAAAATTTATATGGGATCACATAAAAAGCATAAGCTTTCAAATAAAAGAATAGTCACAAAAATCGGTTCACGAAAAAAATTTCTGAGGTAACACACTTAAAACATTAAGTCGAATTGAAAACCTTCTCGTTTTTTTGAATTCGCTTGAAAATATCATATCGTTCTAAGATCACGATAACGAGAAAAATATTTTTGGACAATTGTTTATTTATATGTTTATATATTCATTATGTTGTTCCCCTGAACTAAGGTTAACAATGGGCGGATCGAATAAATGATTAACAAAATTTAGCTTTCGGCTTTAAGGATCTAAAGAGAATAAAATAATTTCCCCATAGCTTTTGAAGTCAGTAAGATATAGTGTAGCTTCTTTTTGAAGACGTTTAAAAAGGGTAGGGAAAAGGAGCCAAACAGCAAAGTAACTAATAATAACTCAACGCAGCACAAGTGTGTATTAACAAAAGGAACGTTTCATTTCTTGTATTCCAGTCTCGTAGTAGCATCACGTCCATTTTCGATACGTCAGTTAGGAAAGAGTGACGTTACACAAGACACTTGGCTCTGGAAACCCGTTTGCTACTGACACGTTTACGAAGAGCGGGACACGAGCCGGTTATGTAAAACACAATGCGTCCTAAGACGTTCGTAAATGGCGGGCGCTTTAGAGCGAATTTAACACAGAAATCGATGTCGTTATGGTGCTCGATTAACTGAATTCGCAATATATCCTATCTAATTATTGCTGGGTAATGAATTCAAAGTATTCGATTACAAAGTTCAGACCTTTCGAAGAAATGGAATATACATTAATTTATTCGGCATTTTAGGAAACTTGGAACTCCTCTGTGTTCTTTTTAACTCTCAACTTTTACCAAAATTGGTACTCATTATAGTTGGCAATTTTCAAAGTCTTAGTCTAAAAATGTGCATGTTCTTT